ATACTACATTTATCCATTTTAAATATACTAACCTCACTCCTTTGTAACCACTAAGGCAAAAATGTCATTAATTCAGAAAATCTTTTCTGGACCCCACCTTGATGTTTCGGGACCCCACTTTGGGTCCCGACCCCAACTTTGGGAAACGCTGGTTTAAACAGAGATAGATGGTGAAGCGTTCAGGGAGGAGAAATCTGCTTAAACCCAAATGAGCACTCCGGTTCAGCCACTGCTTTGAAGCCTGGATAAACCATTAACCCCGAGGAACACGCTGCCCGAACGTCATCAAAACAATCCCGAGTCCCGACCTTTAAACCTCATTTAAAAACATTTGCCACCGCAGCTCCTCGGACAAATCACCAGTTCTCAGGAAAGGCTCCGAGGCGTTCCGCGGAGTGGAGGGAGGCTCTGAAGGTGACCGGAGGTGGCGGCGAGCCTCAGGCCAAACCGGCCACTTGTGTACTCGGTTCTGTTCCACTGAACCGCATGAGGGTGACACGCTGTTATTTGCAGTAAGTGAGCATGTAATGGACTTGTAAGAGGCGGAGGAAACAAGACGGAAAAGTTCTTTCCAGAGGTCATATCCTTACTGGTCAAACGGTTAAAGGACAAGAACATGTTCTTGTAATTAAAAGGCCCAACATATCACCTGCCAGAGGTTTGGACTGAGATGAAGAAATGACTCGTAAACTGATCCGTTAGAGCTCAGAATATGTTTTCTGCAAATACATTATTACCCTTTCGCTTCTGTGCAGTAAAGAAAACAGAAACGTCTCGTCTCAGAGTTCTGCCTGACAGATCAGGGAGTGTGTTTAATGTCCTGGTTCTGCCGTCTGTTTTGTACACAGAGCAGTTTGTTTCACGTCTCCATCTCCACAAATACYAGAGCCGATGTTCAGAAAACAGCCGAAGCTGTTGGGTCAACAGCCGCCGGGCCCTGCGGCTCCGAACACAAACATCTCCTTCTTCRGATATGAAATTCGAAGATACTTTCAGGGGAAGCTCCTCCTCGGAGTCTTGGWGTAATTACAAACATTCACAACTAATTAAAAAGTCTTTTCACGGCTCGATGCTCCACATTTATCCACCATTATGGTCAAATGGATCGTGTTACATTAAAACGATCAGGGATTACACAGAAAAAAAACACATGAAGGGTCCAAATTTAGGCTCTGTTGTGAAAAATGTTCGGATCATTACGGCTCTGAGTTTTGGTTTTTGTAACTTTCTGAAATATTTAACATTTACTAGGTTGTGCAGAAATGCATTTAGATCTCACTTTTAAAATCGTCTCCATTCTTGATTCCGTTTTAGCTTTTAGCTACTGTTCTGTGTATTTATGTTTTACCTAATTCTTCCATCATCTTTACCCATTCCTTGTGGACAGCTGCTGGACTCTTTACTCTGAACAAGCAGGAAGTAGAAACGACTTTTAGTGCAAACAAAACGATTCTTATTTTCAGCAGGTTTTAAACATGAAAACATCTAAATTCACATCATGTTGTTATAAAAGTCTG